TGGCATCTCCAGGGCAGTATATCCATTCACACTGGCCAGGGTAGTAGCTAGAATAGAAAGTAGAGGAAAAAAACAAAAACAAAATAAGCAGGGCTTGATTTACCTCGATAGATATGCATAACAATTTGCTAAACAGACAAGGTGGGTGACATAATGTCTTTTATTAGTCCTATAAAAAATATTACCTCACCCACCTTGTGTGTCTAATATTCTGGGATCAAAATGGCTATAACAATACTGCAGATAACACTTGGCTACACATTCGTCTAAGGGCTAGATTTCTGTTCAGTATTATTTTCGATATTACAGAGAAAGAGATCAATAATTTGATAGTCCAGGACATACGTAGCAAGTTAGTCCAGATGACTTCAAAAAGTTGAGGAGTATCAATTTGAAATCAAATGGCAGAGTTAATTTTGGGGAAGAATTGTTATTTATTAAGCTTTGATAATATGTGGTCTATGAAAATTCAGTGGTGTGTTACCAAAGGAATGTGCTAGTTACCCAATCTCTGTCCAGTTACCCAATCTCTGCTCTTCCACAATGCTTCACAAAGCAGTGGTGACAGGAAGTTAGTGTATAGAAGGTGGGTGGGGAAAATAGAGGTGTGATCCACTACAATATCTGGTGTAGAGATCTATTACTGCTAAACTTTCATGACAATGGCATTTCTTCTCTATCCTCAAATTGATCATTTAAAGTCAGATTTTGGTGCAACTGAAGACAAATGCAGTTTTGCCATCAAATTCAACAGAAGCAGGATGGGGTCCTGCAATAAATCACCAGGACTGTATTACAAATTGATTAATAAAAAGATCAATAGATAATAAATTGCAATAAATCACTAGGACCAAATTATATTAATCAAGAATTCTGAAGGAATTTAAAATGAAATGGTTTAGCTGCCAAAAAAAGATATGTAACTCCATAATTAAAATGAACCAGAGGATTGGAGAATAGCCAATGTTATGCTTATCTTTAAAAAGGGTGCTAACAGATATCCTGGGAATCATAGACCAATGAGCCTTATTTCAGTACCAATTAAGCTAGTTGAAACAATACTAAAGCTAGAATTATGAAAAACAAAACCCAACATTATATAATATAAAGGACCAGTACAGCCTCTGGGGAAAAACTATGCTATTTAGAATTCTTTGACAACTCAACTAGCAAATCCTTAAGAATTGGTAGACAAAATTATTTTGGACTTGCAAAATAATGTTGGTAAAGATCCTCAAAAAAGAAGCTATTAAGGAAATTAAGCAGTTGTGGCATGAAAAGCAAAGTTCTGTCATGGAGTAAAAACTGGTTAAGAGGCAGAAAACGAGAACAGCTGTCACAATGGCAGTACAGAGACTGTAATCAGCTCTCCAGTTAAAAACAGTAGCTCTGACCCTAACTGGGTTGATTTAAAAACTGGTTGTGAGTGCACTGTTAAATATTAAAGTAAGCAGAAAGGGTAAAGTAAACTGAGAATAGGATTAAAACAAATAAATAAAACTATCAGCCCCAATAGGAACACTGTTAATTTCAGATATCTCAGTAAAATAGGTGTGGTACAAAATGCCTATGTACATATGATACTTTCAGAATGAGAAATACTGAAGACCTGACAAAAACTTTCAGTGGGCAATAAAACTCTTGTTTTTCTCTCTTATCATGAGATATGACTACCATCATATATCTTGTCATATGCTACATGACACATATCCTCGGGTGCATGTCATACTGAAAAATATGAAAATTTTGTTGCACACTTTTTACAGCAGGAGATTAAAGCCACATATATTACAATTCTACATATATCAGGAAATCTCTAAGCTGCTGGGCACATTTCCTAATAGCACACACTCCCTTAACTTAGTTAAATTAAGGCTGATTGGAATTTTTTTTTTTAAACTTAAAATGATCGAACAGAATTTGGTTTAATTCACTCTTATTCAAAGTACTCAAAACACTTACAATCACCAAAAATGTTTTTACAGAATGACATGACTTACCCGAGTTTCAGCATGTTGATCATATCAAAGTTTACTACATCAAACACCTTCATTGCTTTGTCATCCCCAACAGAACAGAATAATGCCCCTTCTGAACTAACTGCAATACTCTCAATGACCCCTGTTACAATAAACCCAATATAATATTAAAACATGGAAAAGACAGATACAACTTTCAAAACAAAGCATGAAGAGTATTCACCACTTCAAAGGAGGGGGGAATCCAACTATCTTAGAACAACATTTTAGAGCCTGCAACTGTTGTATATAGTATCTGTATTTTAAAGCTGTAGTACAGAATAATAATAAATAATAATAATTAATAAAGAGTTCTACATTGCACAGTTCACATCTGCATTGTCTTCGAGTAGTTAGCCACTGTACAGAGAATTAGTGACCCAACATAAAATTGCTTATTTTTTTAATAATGATGATCCCACTGATCCCACTTAAGAAAATAATGTGCTGGTTTTTTAGCTCAGAAAGGATAAAATTTGGATGTATTAACATACTTGTTGAAGTCAATGGCAGCAATTAAACTTTTAGAAGGACTCTAAATAATATGTTTTTTTTAAAGTTGATTGGTATATTAAAAATAGCAATTTACAAGTTTTACTGTTATCATGAACAATCAGTATCATCAAGTTCTAAAAATGAAGCATAGAAAATCATAAAATAAATTGATAAGAATCCTATAAACAATACACCTAACAAACATTAAAGTTTATTTCCACAGTAAGTCCTAAGCCCTCAGAATCCTACTGCATAATGGACTAGGACCAGATTCTCCAGCTTTGGAGAACACCTGATGAAACACATATTTAACTACTACTAGATATTGGAAATATAGAACATAGATAGTAGAGTTGAAGAAAAATTGTGTTCTAATAAAAACAGATCAAATACAATATGATTTCTTACCTAAATGGCTACGAAAATGTTTAACAAATTCAATCCCTTCTTCTACTTTCTTCCAGAATTTGACATGTCCATCATGGCTGGCAGTTATGATAAAATCTGTCCTGCAGTGATAAACGTATCAATTGAAATAGAATGTTAAAAACTTGAGGGTGGAAGGGAAGAATCAATAATGGTGCACAAGATGAATTTACCTGTACAACATAACTATTGAGATGGATATGCATTTTTTCCTTTTTCCTCACTCAGAAAAGTACAACATGTATTTGCAATTAGTGGGTAATGGCTAGTATCAAGACCTTACATATTAGTACAATATTCTTTATATCTTATTGTAAACAATCTTGAGTCTGCCAAAGTGTGCAGTAGCAGTTCGATCTCAGTATTAATCATTAAAAAGCAAGATATTACCTTCCCACACTCTGTGACTTGATTTGTAAAGAGACTACATCAACTTAAACAACACACTTTAGTCTTATTTTTTTCATCCTAATATTGTTAGAAGTAACATGCAATTAAAAGAGGTTAGATATTTTTTCTGTCTCTGCAGTTGTTTACTTTATGCATATGACTGCATTTGATGTAGAGCCTCTCCTGCTTGTGTAGTCATTTCACATAGAAATAGGGATGAGAAAAAGTAATTTAAGAATAGGAAAATGGGATTTTAAATCCACAAAACTAAGCAAGGGGTTACACAGTACTACTTTTAAATTGACTAGATTTAAAATGTGTCTCTCTTTAACCAAACAAAATCTATTTGAATTAGCTCTGAAGAATTTAAAATCCCACCTCCAAAATCATCAAGTTCCATTAGGAACATTTCTATTAAAAAGAAAAAAAGACTTCCTATCATATGCACATAAAAGTTTTGGGACTGCAAGACACCGTTAAAACAAAAGACTCACTTAGTACACACTACATGTGTGATGACATCTCTGTGCATGTAACTGCGTTCGTACATTGAAGCACTCGGAAGATTTTCAAGGTAGACATGTTCAAATTCAAGGACTGAACAAAATAAGAGAAAAGCAGACATTATTTCCTTTTAATAAATATTACATCCCATCTTCCGCTCGCTATTATTATTTACACTTATATTACTTTACCTGCGTTAGTTTTAGTCAAAAAGGTAAGATATCAGGGCACCATGCTAACATTATGAATGAGATTTCTACCACTATTTTTTGAACCTGGATCTCCCAACTGCTGGCGTACTAGAAGCATCTAATCTCTCATTTCACTAATATTTAAATAAGCACACCCTTTTAAACAATTACACCTGTTTCCTGAAATGATAACACAATATTAATGCCAAAGGCCCAAAGTCTGTCCCTACATGCATTGTCTCCCTCCCCTCCGTCCCACCCCAATTAAGTTAACTTGAATATCCAAGGTCAGAAATTGGCCTTATGCAAATGCTTCTTTAAAGTACATTATTTCTCATATAAAGGAAACCTTTCACAAAGAAGATTTGAAAACAGAGTATCTAGAAAAAATCCTTTCGTTAGAGAATAACTATAATTTTCAGAATTTTGTGGACGTGTTTAGAATCAATACATCTCGGGCTGAGGTGTCATAATTTATTCTAAGAAGAGTGATAATTAGTCATGACCCACTGATTGAGATTCATCATAAAAATATTCATAATGTTAGCTAGACATAGATTTGAAGTCCCATGACTATACCCTAAGAGGTAGAACTTTACAATAAAAGCAGTGGCATTCAATCTATAAATGATTTTACAATACTGGTCCTCTAAGATTTGCTCAACTTCTACTTATGGCTTTAACTAGTTGCTCACAGACAACAACTGTGTCCTGGCAAACCCTCTCCACTGGTGGGTGAAAGCACAGCCAGTGACCAATATTACCAGAGAACTCAGTGCACCTTTCCCTGTCTGATGACCCAAACTTGGTAAAGACAGAAGCCAAGAGGTGAATGTTAAAAGTGTAGTATTTACATTTTAAGCTCATTTGAACAAAGGGGAAGTAAGGCAACTACAAATTTTGTGCAGTATGTAAACAATGGTGGCAAGTAGTGCACTGCAATGCAGATAAAATGAAGTGCATTGGAGTGCAATGAGAGCATAAGGCTCCTTTGGCTCGCTGCTACAACTCTGTTATTTTGATCACCGTGCCTGTAGGAGTGATGACGAAGGTCATCATTATGATCAAAGATCACTGCAAGTCCCTCTTACTTAATCTTGTGACTAGGTTAAAGTCCTATAGAGATAAACAAAGGATGAAGCGGCCTGCGTTAAATGTACAGCAGAGGTTAAGACAAACAAAAATTTGGGATGCACAAGGAATGGGATGGAAAAATACTGTAAATATGATGCCATTCTATAAATCAACAGTATAGCCTCATCTGGATGAATGTGTTCAATTCTAACTGCCCCATTTAAAAAAAAAAGAATGTAGCAGAAATAGAGGGGGTTCTGAGATGTATTTTTTCCTCTCAAGAAAGTAAAACAAGAATATGTTCAATTAAATTAAAAGGTAGTAAATTTTTAAGAAAACTGACAAATGTGTTGTTCTCTGGAACACACACAACTTTGCAAGACTCAAAATAGATTGGACATTATATGGATAAGAACATTCAGTCACATACTGGTAAGAATTAAAAGAAAAACAATGTTTAGAAGGAGAATAAATCATTAAGCCTCAGGGCGTATGCCAGTATTTAAAAGGAGGGGTCTAGGAAGCAACTTCTTTATGAGCAAATTATTCCACTTGTAGTTCCCTCTGAAGCATCTGGGACTGGCAACTGTCAGACATGATATCAAAATAGCTGATCAGATATGATATATCGCACCATAAGAAGCGGTAACTTCCGATACCTATCTAAGTGGACTTTGTTTTCAATTAACATACCAAACAGAGGATAACAATGCCCATGACTGTAGCAAACTGAATGATACCACTTCCCAATCTAGGGACAGCACAGCAAAAATATCAGAAAAGGTGGCCTATAACTACACTCATGAAAGAACTCATAAAACAAATAAATCTTCAATCTTCTGTTACAAGATGACAGTATCTGACCAATAAGAAATGTGTTTATTGACAGGACAGATGTAATTACTGCTACCTTTCAGCACTCAAAAACATGTTAGGTACCTCACAAAAGTTGTAACAACATAATAACTGTCCTGAACAGTTTGCTATCTAAATTTGACATGACAAAAATGTGCGATTCATAAACAGACTAAACGGAAAGGAGAGAAAAATGTGACAACAATATCACACAATTATGGAGTAGGGCAAGTACATATCTTGAAAGTTCCTTTATTTTTTTTATCATCTTTCTCCTTCCATTTTTAGTGGTTGTCATTAAGCAACTAAATCAGCTTCATCATTTGCATGTCACTATTTAAGATCTAATAACTGGCATTTCTACCCAATTTATTAACAGACTGCAAAAAGAATCAGATTCTTTCTGCTCCAACTCCTTAAATCACAACTGCAGCTATTTGTCTAGCTGGAGGCTACTGCACCCATTGCTATTTAATTTAGTAGGCCTGTGCAGATGACGAGTCAATCCCATGTTTGTATTATGGTAGAATCCATGATGGAGATGTCAATCAGGCAACTCTGTTAAAATTGTAGCAACAAAACAACAAGCAGCTGATTGCCAGTAGTTGTCTATTTCTGACATTTTAAGCTTTGTAAAGAATCTGTTCATGCAGGTGTTCTCCAAGAAGTATGTCTGTTGCTTTACCCTAGCCTTACAATAAAATGTGATCTTCCTTGTAGTGAAGCTAAGTTTTTCCTTTTGTGTGGAGTAGTAATTAATCTTCATAAGTGAAAGCATTTCAAACAGTAGGTCTCAGTGCACATGCTTAACTTCCATACCGTGAATAGCAGTGAATAGCAGGTGGTAGTAAAGTTAAGATTGTGCCTGTTTGCACAATCAAAGACACAGAGTGACATCTTGAAGCATCTGTTCCTATAATCCTCTTTCTGAAGGCCAAGAGAAGCATGTGAGATTTAGAACACGGAAAAATTTCAAGTTCTTGTGCAGTGCAATCTTCAAAACAAGTCAAAGAATGCAGCATCTTAAATATTTGCCTTTGTTGCATTAATGAAGGAGGAACCACTCTTTGACAAAACGCATATCCATGTACTGCTCTTAGCAATTCCACACGTAAGACAACAGACTTTACAGCACTGGCATGAACATTCACCAGTTGGGGCGCAACATTTTCCTGATCACCTTTCATAACAACAAAACAAAGGTAATTTTTGTTACTTTTCAAGAGGAGAAGGAGGAAGAGCTACTCTTTATGGCACATGGGATCGCACACGAGGCTGGATCACAGAGACGTTGGGGGCAGTTTTGACTGTTCCCGCAGACATGCCCGCCGTGCGAGTGTTTCGGACGCGTTTACCATGGTCCCGGCACCGCACTCCAGCACCGTTCCCGACCGGAGCGCCCCGCCACAGCCCGTGTCCTAGCGCCCGCCCAGACTCCCAGCCCGGACCGCCCCGCTCCCCCGTAGCCCGGACCAGGGCGCAGCTCCCCGCGTTACCTCTCCTCTTTTTGGCCTGCGCAGCCTCCCCTGGGAGGGGCCCGACCCAGCGCTCCTCTTCCTCCGGTTCCTCGTCTCCATCCCCGGCTACGGCGCCCGCCGCTGCCTCCTCGAGCTTCCTCCTCTTGCGCTCCGAGTCGGCGGAGGCCATGTTAGTGTGCGTCACGCTCCTGCGACACCCCCCGCTCGGGCGCCCGAAAGTGAGGGCGGCAGCGCCTCTCGCCGTCAGCCGGACACAACCAGTGAGCGTGGAGCGCGCGCAGATTGAGACGCGCGTCGGAACCCGCTCAGGTCGCCGTGAGGACTGGAGGGGGCCGGAGCTCGCCATGGTAACGGGCTGTTTCCCCCACCCTTAGGGTGCCTGTCCGAGTGTCTGCGCTTCCGTTGCCCCCGGCGGCGCAGGCTGCGGGGAGTCCCCGTTAACTCCCCCAAAGGCCGCAGACGGGGGCTATGCCTAGGGGGCCGCTCTCTGGGAGAGCCGGTAACCGCTCACCAGCCCCGCTGCTCCCAGGCTGTCTGTTTGCATCGCTATGGGTGGCCCCTCCCCTCCGCCCTGCGTCGCCGGGGCTGCCAAGGCGGCTTTGGGGCTGTCGCCTCGGCTGCCGCCCCTTTCGTCGCCCCCCGCCGCAGCACCTACCTCATGAGGTGTGTAAACGCACCACTGACGTGCAGCAGTGCGGTGGGAGGGGGCAAAGGACACGGGCTTGCTTTTAAGTCCATGCAAAGCAAAGGAGGCCTTGGTTTTTACAGGCTCAGTCCAGCCTCCCCACCGTAAGTTGCATAAGCATTAAGCTTTTCTATCTTGGATGGACAAAGGGTTTTTTTCAGTCTCTCTTCATATGAGAGGTTTCAGAGGAACAGCCGTGTTAGTCTGTATTCGCAAAAAGAAAAGGAGGACTTGTGGCACCTTAGAGACAAACCAATTTATTTGAGCATAAGCTTTCGTGATGCATCCGATGAAGTGAGCTGTAGCTCACGAAAGCTCATGCTCAAATAAATTGGTTAGTCTCTAAGGTGCCACAAGTACGCCTTTTCTTTCTTCATATGAGAGTTTTTTTCCAGGCCTTTAATCATTTTTCATGCTCTTCTCTGACCTTTCTCTAGTTAAACAATGTTCTTTTTGAGATGGGGTGATCAGTACTGCGGGCAGTATTCTGTGAAGGTCACAGCATTGATTTATCTATTATAAAATTTTAGGTAGTATTCTCCATGCCACTCCTTACACATTTATAATATCTTGTTATTTTTTTTTTACTGAATTGAGCAGAGATTTTCATTGAACTTTCTGTAATAACCCCTTTCTTAGATTGATATAGTTTATTGATGCACCCGTAAGGTGAAAGAGTGGTTAAATTTTGCTGATTCACCTACCTTGTTTAGGTCACTAAAGTTCCTTTCTGGTCCTGACTAAACAATAGCTTTGTGTCTTCTGCAAATTTTGCTATCTCGCTATTCATCCCTCTTTACAGATCATTAATAAATATATTAAACTTGTACAAAATCTTGAAGTACCCTGCTGTTAACCCTTTGCTGTGTTGAAAATCCTATTTTTGCTTTATGCCTCCTAATTGGTTTTTGATCCAAGTTAGTACTTTGTCTCTAACCCCAAGATTTAATTTTTTTAGGAGATTCTGGTGCAGGATCTTGTTGGAGGCCTTTTGGAATTATAAATAAATTGTCAGCTTGTTCTCCTTTACCTACTACATTATTGACACATTCAAAGAATTCTAAGAAATTCATCAGGCCTAATTTTTGTTTGCTGAATCCATACTGGTTAGAACATATCAAATCCTGAACTTCCAGATGATTTGTTACTCTTTTTTTAAATGTAAGGATTCTACTAATTTTTCAGGTACAGATGAAAAGCTTACAGGTCCATAAAACTCTGCAGCACCCCTTGAGCTTTTTAAAAATATAGATAGCAAACATTCATTAAAAACAGTAATTCTTCTAGACAATTGGAAGATAGAAAGATTAAATATTTTTGTTAGTATCAGCTACTTCATACTTGGATGTATACCATCTAGGCCTGGTGATTTACTGCATTTAAAATTATCAATTTGCTCAGTTACCTCTTCTTCTGTTACCTCCATTTTCTGCGAATACCTCATCTTTGTTATCATGAAAGAGTAGATCCAGAGGAGGAATCTCCCCAACATTCATGGTGGTGAAGACTGATGCAAGGAAATCATTTAGTTTCTCAGCAAGGTCCTTATTTTGCTCTTGTTAGTTTTTACATCTTTAGTTATTTGCTCTTCAAACTCCAGTTTGGTATATATAATTTCCCCTCTTATCAATTACAGCTGGTATTAGCTATTCTAGTTCACGGGTTCTCGCAACAAATTTTTTGGTGTCCTCAGAGTGCAGCTACCAACTCTTGCTGGTGGCTGCTCTGACAATTTTTGCTAAAATACTTTAGGAAAAACAAAAATGCACATATACACGTCCACATCATTGTAATTTATTCATGTAGTTGGAAGGCAGTAAGAAGTAAACTGGTACTTCCATTTTAGCATGTGGACTGTGCTCCTATTCTTGTGCTCGGAGCGTATCATAAGTGGGAGCCCTTACCCTGTCAGGGAGCTTCCAAGTCCTGCAGCAGTCCACAGCTGTTGAGCTGCTGTGGTAGCTACAGCAACTGTAAACAACGAGTGTGGCTGTAGGTGGGGGAAATACTGACCTGTCTCTCTGTCCCGGCCTCCCCCAGACCTTCAGTGACAGCCCTCCCTTGGGAACGTGGGTTGGGAACTCACTGGCCGCCTGCGAAGTCCCAGTCTCCGTGTTCCCCAGCTGGGCGGGAGCAGGGGACCTGTCCAGAGGAACACCCTAGCGACCAAATGCAGCCATCTCCACTGACGAGAGCCACCTCCGGCACTGTGCACACCAGCCCAATGTGTCCCAGTGGGGCTGTCCAGAGTCCCTGAGGAGGCTGCAGAGTGCTGATCCCGGCTGCCAGCGAAACACCAAGGTGGCAGATCTCACTGGCCTTTGTAACAGCTATTCAGGAGCAACAACTGGGCGCTGCAGGGAGGGGCTATGCTTTGCCACTTCCCTCCAATCTCTGCCCATGCTTTGGAGACTGTCATGGCAGCAAAAAAAGTCCTCTAGTGGCTGCAGTTGAGAAATGCTGATTTAGTTTATTGGCTTCGCTAAAGGCAGATTTCTAAATTTTGCAGGACTTCTGTTTTGCTCAAGTAGTCTCTTGAACATTTCCACTGAACCTTGTCTTCCTATTTCCTTTTCGTTTCACGGTAATAACTTCTGAGATTCTATCCAAGCCACTTCTAGGGATTTTACATGTTTTACTTTTAGCTTTAGAGCCATTTTGACTATCATTTTACTGAAATCTCCTCTTCCAAAGTTTAGTGTCACTGTTATTTTGTTACTCTACCTGCTTTTTCGATATTGAAGAATGTAGGGTTGTTAAATTATTTTACCAAATTTCCGTACTGCCAAATGTATTTAGAGAAGAATACTGAGAATTCTCTATTGCTATGTAAGATTAGAGCAGATCCTAGCCAAGGCAAACTATTTGCATTTCTCATTTAGTCTGTCTTAAGGTTGGTGTGGGGTTTTTTTGTTTTTGTTTTATCATCATCATCAGTGTTGTTTTGGTCACAAGCTTTTCTGTGTTCAAACCTGCTACTTAAGAACCCTGTTAATGCACAGGAAATTTGTATGTATGCATGCTAATAATTCTGAAGCTGTTTCCTTTACAGCACTCTAAAAATCTGTGTCTGGAATTTAACAAGACTATTGGGAGGTAACACCAATTATCTTCTGTTTGTAGGAGAGGGTAGAAGCAGCTCCATGTCTCGATTTTTTTAATTGTTTGAAAGCTGCAGTGTTCTACAAGTAGTTTGGGAATGGTCTTGTATATTTTAAAAACATGTTCCTGGTACTTCCTTTCAATTATTGTCACTGCTTTCTGACTGACATACTTCTCCCACATAGTCTTCCCTTATTTTGGCATTCAGAGTAAGAATACAGAATTCTGAATCTGATTCAGGATATATGCTTGTATGAAGGCAGTGAAACCCACCCCTCAGTCCTGCAAGTTATTCAGTGTGAGTGGCCCCTATGTCCCGAAGAAGCCTGGTTGAAGCTAATGTGGTGCTGCAGGGGTCTGCCTGCGTGGAACACACAGAGGATCTAGGCCTAAATAATTATTAAAGTACTGTGGATATAGACTTGAACTCAACTAGCTGAGCCAAAAGAATGTCATATGAAGCAGCACAGAAAGATTGTTAGCTTTGTCACAAGTCATATTTCATAAAAGAAATAGATATTTAAAAAAATTTGGTAGTCAATATAACTTATTTTTTGCGCTTTTGTTATAGGATAAACAAGATGAACTTTTAAAGGAGGTATGTACGCTTTTGATTCATTTATTAGGTTATTTGTTAAATTTAAGTACATTGTTTGTGGCTGTTCTACATTAAGCTAAGTTTAAAGAAAATGTTCCTTGAAGAAATTAGAGGCAATTTCTGTCAGGTAGTTCAGCTTTAAAAACTTGGAATAGATTTATTATAGAAAATAATAATAATAGAAATGGTCTTATAAATCACAAGTTTAAAATTTATTACTTTAAACTCATGTATATTTTTATGTTGCCATTGAATTTGTTTACCCTTCCAAGAGGACTATAAATCTCATGATCTACGTTCACTAGTTTTTACTTATGAAATTATCTTTGTAGGGAAAACTAAATCCATATTTTATTTTTAAATCTGGTGTCCATTGAAGTGTTTTAAAAAAGAACAGCAATTGTTTTTGCTCTCAGTTTCTTACTGAGTAATCTCACTCCTGGATTTTAGACATTTTATAACAGCATAATTATTTGTTTTACCTAACTTTTTTATAAAGGGCAAAGTACATGTTTTCATTCATTCAAAAATGTAATGATTAGTAATATTTTCTGTCCTCACAGCATTCTTGTGAAGAAGGGAAGTATTAGTAATGCTTCCCATTTTACAAATGGGAAATTGAAGCACAGAGATTAAGGCCTTGATCCTTCAAACACTTACATAGATGAGTAACTTTATCTTTGTGTGTAGACCTGAGCTCATTGAGAATTCCCATGTGCACAAAGTTAGTTATGCATAGGAGTTAACAGGACTAGGCACACATGAAGTGCCCAAAGTCAAATAGGATGTCAAACAGAGATCCAAGACTCAGGATATATCTACGGTACAAAATTAGGTCGATTTTATTTAAGTCGACATTGAGCCTCCAATTTAAGCAAGTCAATTTTGCATGTCCTCACTATGCTCTTTGTGTCGGTGGAGCACATTCTCACTAGTAGGGCTGGCATTGACTCATGGAGCGCTGCATTGTGGGTAGCTATCCCACAGTGCCTGGAGCCGAGCGGAATGTTGGGTTAGGCTTGCAGTGCCTTATGGGACCAAAACATTTGCACGGGTGGTTATGGGAACATGGCATTAGAGTCCTCATCTGGAATATTGTGTGCAGTTCTGGTCTCCCATGTTTAAGAAAGATGAATTCAAACTGGAACAGGTACAGAGAAGGGCTACTAGGATGATCAGAGGAATGGAAAACCTGTCTTATGAAAGGAGACTCAAAGAGCTTGGCTTGTTTAGCCTAACCAAAAGAAGGCTGAGGGGAGATATGATTGCTCTCTATAAATATATCAGAGGGATAAATATCACAGAGGGAGAAGAATTATTTAAGCTCAGTACCAATGTGGATTCAAGAACAAATGGATATAAACTGGCGACCAGGAAGTTTAGACTTGAAATTAGACGAAGGTTTCTAACCATCAGGGGAGTGAAGTTCTGGAACAGCCTTCCAAGGGAAGCAGTGGGGGCAAAAGACATATGGCTTCAAGACTAAGCTTGATAAGTTTATGGAAGGGATGATATGATGGGATAGCCTAATTTTACAATTAACTGATCTTCAGCTATTAGCGGTAGATATGCCCAATGGCCTGTCATGGGATATTAGATGCAGTGGGATTGAGTTACTACAGAGAATTCTTTCCTGGGTGTCTGGCTGGTGAGTCTTGCCCACATGCTCAGGGTTTAGCTGATCGCCATATTTGGGGTTGGGAAGGAATTTTCCTCCAGGGCAGATTGGCAGAGGCCCTGGGGGTTTTTCGCCTTCCTTTGTAGCATGGAGCACTGGTCACTTGCTGAAGGATTCTCTGCACCTCGAAGTCTTTAAACCACGATTTGAGGACTTCAGTAGCTCAGACATAGGTTAGGGGTTTGTCACAGGAGTGGGTGAGTGAGATTCTGTGGCCTGCGTTGTGCAGGAGATCAGACTAGACTATCATAACGATCCCTTCTGACCTTAAAGTCTGTGATTCTACATTGCACTTACCTAACCTTGTCCCTCCCTCCCTGAAATCAATGGCGAACAAACTAAGCCTTTTTCGCGCCTTTTTTCCTAAGCCTGGGTTACCTGCGCAGATGCCATCGCACAGCAAGCATGGACCCTGCTCAACTGTACACTGTCATTGTGAGCATTACAGACACCTCGCGCTTTATCCTGCGGTATTTGCTCAGCTGAAGCAGGAGCCGCCAAGTGGAACAATCTGATGCCACGCAAGCACCCCTGCTGGAAGCCGTGGAGCGCTGCTTCTGGGCCTGGGAAACCAGCACTGACTGGTGGGACTGCATAGTTATGCAGCTATGGGATGATGAACAGTGGCTGTAGAAGCCTTTGAATGTGTAAGGCCACTTTCATGGAGCTGTGCGAAGAGCTTTTCCCTAGCCCTCAAGCACAGCAATACTAAAATGAGTGATGATCTGACAGTTGAGGGGCGAGTGGTGACAACTGTGGAAGTTTCCAACGCCAGACTGCTACTGGTCAGTGGGGAATCAATCTGGAGTGGGTAAATCTACCGTGGGGTATGTTGTGATCCAAGTTTCCAGGGCAATCAATAGACGTCTGCTAAGAAAGATAATGACTCTCAGCAACATGCAGGACATAGTGGATGGTTTTGCCACGATGGGGTTCCCTAACTGTGGTGGGGCGATAGACGGAACGCATATCCCTATCTTGGCACCAGACCATCTTGCCAAAGACTACATAAACTAAAAGAGGTATTTCTCAATGGTGTTGCAAGCGCTGGTGGATCACAGGGGCCTTTCACTGACATCAAAGTGGGATGGTCGGGAAAGGGGTATGATGCACAAATCTTTAGAAACTCTGGTGTGTTCAGAAAGCTGCAAGAAGGAACTTTCTTTGCAGACTGCAAAATAACAGTTGGGGATGTTGAAATGCCAATCATGATCCTAGGAGACCCAACCTACTGCTTGCTCCCATGGCTCATGAAGCTGTACACAGGCAGCCTGGGTAGCAGTAAGCAGCGGTTCGACCATAGCCTGAGCAAGTGCAGAATGGTGGTGGAATGTGCCTTTGGATGTTTAAAAGCCTGCTGGCATAGTTTGCTTACTAGGTTAGACCTCAGTGAAAGCAATATCCCATTGTTGTTGCTGTGTACTCCGTAATATCTGTGAAACAAAGGGAGAAAAGTTTCTGGTGGGGTGGAGGATTGAGGCAGATCTTCTGGCAGCCAATTTTGAGCAGCCAGACACCAGGGCAATAAGAAGAGCACATTGAGGAGCACTGCGTCTTCGTGAGGCTTTGATAACTAGTTTCATTTCATGAATGACTCACAGTAATGTGACCCTTATGTGTGTTGTTCTTTACCAAGATGTCCCCTTCATTGCATGTACTCCCCGGTAAACTACATCCGGTAAACTACATCCAGCTAACCACAGCGTGCTGAATGAATAAAGAGCCTTTTCTCCTCAATCCATTAATTTTTATTATGCTCCCAAAGACTGAGAGACAGCAAAGAAAAGTAAAATAACTTGGGGCAAAAGGGCTGATAACACGTGGGGGGAGAGACAAGGACAGCTTGCTTACAATTGCGTTGCAATAACAATCAAAGGTGTGGGAATGGGTGCCTTCTGATCCTTGTACCCTCCCCTGGAGTTCAGTGCAAGGGGAACCGGACTCTTCCCCCACCCCTCATTCTAGGACATCTGGGAGAGGAGGATATGGAACTTGGCAATGATGGCAGCAGATTTAGCATAGGCTGCAGTGGTTCTCTACTGTCCAGCTGCCTTTCTTGAACCTCAGCCAGACACATCAACATGTCTGTTTGCTCCCTCATAATCCGTACCATCTTGTCCTGCGTGTCACGCTCGTGTTCCCTGCATGCTCTCCTGTCCTTGTGGTCATTGTGCAGACAGTGCAATCCTCCATGCACTGAGCTCCGTCTTGTCATTCTCAGAGGCATGCGTTAACTCATTGAACATGTCCTCCCCAGTCTTCTTTTTCTGCCTTTTAATCTGGGAACATCTCTGTTCCAGTTTGGAGAATGCGCCTAGGCGCATGGACAAGGTTTCAGCTGCAAAGAATACAAAGCACCAGGGTAGCATTGACAGTGCATATGTTTGTTTCTGGGGCAAGGTTAAATCTTTTTATAAAAGAAACACCCCTCAGTGTACTTCCCTACAGGCCACAACGTAATCAGAACCGCTGGCTACTGCAAGAGTCAGTTTGCTGCTACAGCCATGGTGAGTGAGGCCATCAGGCATGGGCAAGAGGTCTTGTGCTGCAGCTTTTGTTGAGACATCCTTGGGATCAATGGTTCCAACCTCAGCACAGCCCCCTTTCCCATAGCAACCTGGATGGTACTTGAGGACAGGCACCAGCATAAAGCCCCACAAATAGTTTGTTACAAAAGCAGCACCGGGTTGGGGTGGAAGGGAGACAAACAGGAAGCATCGTGGTGGTCCCCCCTCCACCCCTTTTTAAAATGCTGGCTGCAATATGCGGTGATCCCTTCCAACCACAACCAGGGCATGCTCGGGAAAGCGTGGTTGTGTGACCCAGAATTCACCAAACAGGCGGATTACTTATTGAATTACTTCTGATTTAAGGGCTAGCATTTAAAACTTTCCACTTTCCCCCAGGTAATCATATGCGATATTGCTCTCCTGAGGGTAACAGAGGCAGCAAGGGAGCAGATGCTGCAAGTGTCTGAGTACAGACGTGGTCTTTATGCTGCACTGCTGTGTGCCGCAATGATGCCAGAAGAGTTAATACTGGAGTGGCACAGGAAAGTGTCCTACCGTGGTGCATGAAATGAGGCAGCTCTTCCCAGAAACCTTCTGCAAAGAATTGAAGAGTAACTACATGAAAGCTTCCTAGAGATCTCTATGGAGGATTCCAGGGCCATCCCCATGTACATAAACAGTCTTTTTGGGAGAGCACCCTCTGCATAGCTGCAGTGGCCACTGATAACCACTATCCCAATTTTTTTATTCAGATTCAGCATTAACAATAATATCATGTAACCTCTACAGTTTGATTGAAAATGTGTACTCACCAGAGGTGCCTTCCACGGCATCATGCTCTGCCAACAATTGGTCCTGTGTGGGGATGGACTCCAGAATTAAAAAAAAGTTCTTGGCTGTCGGGGAGAATGGATCCTCCACTTCCCTGCCATGCATTTGCCTCTTCCTCCTTCTCCTCTTCCTCTTCAACAATGTCCTCCTCATTGTTGCCCGAGGTTTCCCGGGGCTCCTGGGAAGTATCCACGAAGCGTTTTGGGTTAGTGGTGGAGTCGCTGCCAAGAATCGCATGCAGTTCCTCATAGAAGCGGCATGTCTATGGCTCAGAACCAGAGCAACTGTTCGCCTCCCTTGTCTTCTGGAATGCTTGCCAAAGCTCCTTTATTTTCACGCAGCACTGCGGTGTGTCCCTGGTGTAGCCCTTTCCCCCCAAGCGCTGTGCAATTTTGGCATAGATGTTAGCGTTTCTTCTGCTGGATCGGAGCTCTGCCTCCACAGACTTTTTCCCACACAGCAATAAGATCCACCACCTCCTATGTGCTCCACGCTGGAGCGTGTTTGCGGCTGTGAGCATCCATGGTCAGCTGTGCTGACAAGCTCTCCACGCCAATTAAACAGGAAACAAAAATTCAAAAGTTCCTGGGGCTTTAACAGGGGCATGGCTGTTTCCTGTCTACCTGGCTGAAGTGCAGTGGAGTTGAAAGTGCTTTCCAGAGCAGTCACAGTGGAGCATTGTGGGACACCTTCTGGAGGCCAATTCATTCGAATTACACAGTGCAGTGTCTACGCTATCCCCATGTCAACGTGTGGATGTCGACTTAAGCATTATGCCTCTTGCAGAGGTGGAGTACAGAAGTCAACTTCACAGGCCTTTTAGGTCGGTGGAAGGGTCTCGGTAGTGTAGACAGTAGACATACATTATTAACTCGACCTAATGCAGCATATGTCAACCTAACTTTGTAGCGTAGACCAGGCCTCAGTCTCGTTCCATCCTTCACCTCAACTCTGTTAGGCTGAAACAGTTCTGGCTTCATGTGTTGCTGAACCAGACTAGCATAATTCTCATCCTCTTGATTATTAGGGCATATGTAACTATTACATTACTCTCTAGTGTGGTGATTATTGTGTATTTTTGTAGCAATTATTGTCCCTGAAGATTTTGTGGTGGCTATACTAAATGCTACAAAAAGGTGAAATATGTAGATGTTATGGGAATCCAGAGTTCAGGTCACCTCGTGTTCTGTAATACTATGGCACTTAGAGGTTTGTGGTTATTTCAGTTCTGAGGAAGAAAAAAATACCTTTTTGTAGGTGTTCACCTGTTGTTACCATCTCATTGTTTCATTAATAAAGTCTCCCAACAGAAGAGAGAGGAAAACATGAGGACAGATGACGTCAAGCAACTTTGAAAAATAGGAATTTTGTGTTAGAATACAATATATAGCTATAGTATGTAGCTGAGGCCTCGCCTGATGTGAGTAATTAACACATGAAGGGAGGCCTTATTTCTTGGAGGATAGAATTAGGGAGATAAGCAGATCATTAAACTGAAAACAGACTCTCACAAATCTTGGGAGACAGGCCAGTCCTTGCCTACAGACAGCCCCGCAACCTGAAGCAAATACTCACCAACAACCACATACCACACAACAGAACCACTAGCCCAGGAACCTATCCTTGCAACAAAGCCCGTTGCCAACTGTGCCCACATATCTATTCAGGGGACACCATCATTGGGCCTAATAACATCAGCCACACTATCAGAGGCTCGTTCACCTGCACATCCACCAATGTGATATATGCCATCATGTGCCAGCAATGCCCCTCTGCCATGTACATTGGTCAAACTGGACAGTCCCTACGTAAAAGAATAAATGGACACAAATCAGATGTCAAGAATTATAACATTCATAAACCAGTCGGAGAACACTTCAATCTCTCTGGTCACGCAATCACTGACATGAAGGTCACTATCTTACAACAAAAAAACTTCAAATCCAGACTCCAGCGAGAAACTGCTGAATTGGAATTCATTTGGAAATTGGATACTATGAATTTAGGCTTAAATAGAGACTGGGAGTGGCTAAGTCATTATGCAAGGTAGCCTATTTCCCCTTGCTTTTTCCTACCCCCTCCCCCCCCCCCCGACGTTTTGGTTAAACTTGGATTTAAACTTGGAGAGTGGTCAGTTTGGATGAGCTATTGCCAGCAGGAGAGTGAGTTTGTGTGTGTGGTTTTTGGAGGGGGGTGAGGGAGTGAGAGAACCTGGATTTGTGCTGGAAATGACCCACCTTGATTATCATACACATTGTGAAGAGAGTGGTCACTTTGGATGGGCTATTACCAGCAGGAGAGTGAGTTTGTGTGTGTGTGGCGGGGGGGGGGTGGGGGTGGGTGAGAAAACCTGGATTTGTGCTGGAAATGGCCCAACTTGATGATCACTTTAGATAAGCTATTACCAGCAGGACAGTGGGGTGGGAGGGGGTATTGTTTCATGGTCTCTGTGTGTATATAATGTCTACTGCAGTTTCCACGGTATGCATCCGATGAAGTGAGCTGTAGCTCACGAAAGCTCATGCTCAAATAAATTGGTTAGTCTCTAAGGTGCCACAAGTACTCCTTTTCTTTTTGCAAAGACAGACTAACACGGCTGTTACTCTGAAACCTGAAAACAGAATGTTTGTGCTAAATAAGATAAATTAAAAGATCATGCTAAAAAGAGAATATTTGAGCCAGCTAAGAGGGAGAACACACATTGTTAGGAAATGGTTCCCTGGACATGATAAGTTTGAAATGTAGAGATAAGGTTGAGTGTGGACAATGTATGGTTAAAGCATGCTGCACACATGTGATGCAGTGTATAGTAAATGCAATGTAATGTCTACATTGGTATAAAGGAAGAGATTTTCTGCATAACTTGGGAAGTGTGGTATCCTCTTGAGTCTAATCAGCTCAGTGTAGCTTTGCAATATGCCAGATAAAGATACCTGCGTGGTGAAATCTGTAGTTGAACTGAGTTTTTTGGATCCCAGAGAACTGGATGAAGTCTTCTCCCGGAACTGACAAAGTGTTCTGAATAAGCCAAAGGAAAAGGTCTATGAGGGAACCTCAACATATTAGTGCTTTGTTTGTTTTAAAATTCTAGTTCACTAATAGAGCTAATTGCTTTTAATGAACATTTGTACACAGCCCAGAATTTCTATTAAGTGTTAATAACTGAAGGGTTAAGAAAAATCATACTGTTTTCCCTGTTTTGCTGTGGATATGATTTTCTATCCTCTTCTAATTATTTCATTTCCATACGATGACAATTATTTTCTGCTTGTTCATAGGCTGAGAAATTGGCAAAACATATGTTGTCATACCAACATGATCTGGCTCCAACAATCACCAGTAATATAGTGTGTTCTACAGATGCCAAAGAAGAACTCTTGGATGAATGTGAGGAGATATGGAGGCAGATGGAAGAGGTATGCATATCATTACTAATAGACTAAGTTTATTGTATGTCCTCTTCAAAGGCATGTATTCTACACAGAGAAGACTCTGGGAGAAAATAATATAAAATACAGGCCAAAAATGAAAGTGTAAATGGCACTGAGGGATCCATTATAATGTGAATTTTTGTTTGCAGTATTGATATATCTATTTTAGATTAACAAAATGGAATATAGTGAAATTTTAAAAGCAAATAAAAATATTAACTATTATTATTTGTATTGAATTAGTGCTTAGTGGGCCCAGTTGAGATTGGGACTCCATTGTGCTAGAGGCTGTGCTAGACATTGTACAAATACTAAGTAGATGAGAGATAGACAGAGGGTGGCAGAGGTTCACAGAGCGGTGACATTAATTGCCAAAGATCAGTGGCAACACCAGGAATAGAATTCAGGTTTTCTGACTTCCAATCCAATGCCTTAACCATTAAACTCTGCTGCCTATCCACATTTTTATTGTTACTTTATTAAAAAAAAAAAAAAAAGGCAGAATCCCTGTCTGATTTTTAATGGTTTTGAGGAATCACTATACATTCTGCAAGATGCTAAGACACCCATTCTTATTCAATTGGATGTGAAAGGAACAGTTATGTTCTAAATTATGGTACTTTGATTCTGAATGGCTTAACAGGATTTTATGTAGTATTCATACACAACAGTATATTCTTTTGAGTACTGTGTACTGGTAATAAGACAAATAAAACTACAATGTAACTAATTCACATGAATAATCTGTGCTGTCAGTTTTAGTTCAAGAACTACTTGCAGTATTTTCTTCAGTCATTTTTGCTCAGTTATTGACATTTTTGAAACAGGAAGCACCTCTTTAAAAAGTCAAAATTAAAAATGGTTTAAATACTTGTGACTTACATTTAACATTAACATATTTATTTTATTGTTTGTAAATATTTGAGGCTGTACATAAAGAATTAATGTCTAATCATAAGTGTATTCTAGGACTTCCTTTTTTTTTTGTAAGATTCTTTACTATGTGCATAAGTTGGCATGGTGCATTACTTGGGATTAAACAAGCTGCAGAGGATAATGTCTCTTGCTTTATCAAGTACTCTTCCTAACTATCGACAGAAATATCAAAAATGTTTATCCAGGATGATGTGATCTCTTGCCACCAATTTTTCAAACCGGAGGAGAATCCAAAAATTTTATCAGTTTAGATTACACAGCACCAAAGATGTTCAGTGTAATGATTTCCCAACCTCTTTAGCACAATAAAGGAAATGCTTGCACACAGTTTTTGATGGAAGTTGGTAGCTGCAGAGACCGCTTTCTTTCTCCATTTTTTAGACATAACATCACTAATGCATGTATATGCTGTATCAGGTAATTCTAGAGAGCTAATGATTGGCACATTACCTGCTCAGATTGTGTAGTTTATCATCTAACATTCCATTTATTTTATAATCATTTGCACCCTTTATTGCATAGCAAAATATAATATGTTTTATTATTTATTTCCAAAACATTAAGGATGAAGTTTCGAAACCACCGCTTGAGTCATGCAGTTGGGAGAAAATATGCAGTTCTCAGGGGAAACTGACATACAGTTTAATAGTGAAAGATGCTGTAGGCCCATTACTAACTTCTTGGAATATTATGCACCTGTTTTTCCCTTAGTGGAGTCCACCTGTAAAGACAATAGGAAACTTTGTCTAAGGGCCCATGCATCCGCCAACGTCGGGCATTCCGCTCAACTATAGAAACTAAAATGACTAAATGAGCATATGAGACCTGAAAAAGAGCTCTGCGTGGCTTGAAAGCTTGTCTCTTTCACCAATAGAAGTTGGTCCAATAAAAGATATTCTCACCCACCTTGTCTCTCTAAATGAGGATATTGTCAATCACAAAGGCAAAAATCTCTCATAATTTGCATGTGTATAAACCTCTTTCTCCCTCCCAACCTAGTTTAAAAAAAATCTCCAAGTTACCAAGCAAGAGTCATATGCTGCTTTCCTATGCAGTATTTCAATCCCAAACTATCTGTAAACTTGTTTCTTGTAAATCAAATATACCATGAAGAGCTCTTTCACCCCAGATTAGAATCTGCACATTTGTTTGCATTGTGAGTTACATCTATGTCCTCCAAATTTAGGAGATAAGGATTTTGTTGGTTTTCATTGTAAATAATTGTTGCACTCTAACAGTAATAGAAATTGTGTGTCACAAGGAAGACGAAAAGTTAAAAAATATAAACCAGGGTATAACTGGTATATTAAAAGAAAATGCTTAGAAGGGGGGAGCCCAATTGATAATAGGGGCAAATAGTGAAATACAATCCGTGAAATGAATCCAATTTTAAGACTCCCATAAGAAAGGGATTAAAGAAATGTGTTTGTACACCAACACCATCTACTGGATACCAAGGGAAGCAGCAAAGAAACTAAGCTGAAATCTGAGCACTCATTTGGCACATGTCCAATAGGAATCAGAAGATGGACCCCTCCAACAGCCCTGAAATTAGGATATATAAAACTGAAGTTACCGTGTGCTCAAGAGAGTTTATTGAACCCAACACAAGCAGCTGCAGAATCCTAAATGCAACTGACACCTGAACCAGCTGGGTGGAAAAGACTCTTTCCCCCATTCCAGGGTTAAGAGGATAAAAAGAAGTGCTGAGATTTCATTTAAAAGATTCTATTTTCCCTTATGGTCTTTAATATAAATGCCTGTAGGTTATCTTGCTGAGCCTTCACTCTCTAGCGAGAGCTCAAGTAACCATATTTTAGATTTTAACTGCTTTATAAGTCCATGCAAATTGGTCTAAAACGGGTTCTCAAACTGGAGGTTGTGACTTACATCAGGGGTCATGAGCTGTCAGCCTCCATCCCAAACCCTGCTTCACCTCCAGCATTTATAATAGAGTTAAATATAAAAAAAGTATTCTTAATTTATAAGGGGGGGGGGTTGCACTCGGAAGCTTGTTATGTGAAAGGGGGTCACCAGGACAAAAGTTTGAGAACCACTGGCCTAAAAGATATAGAAAAGAATTTTTAATCAGTTGCTTTTAATATTCTAAACTTGTCCCGTGTGGACCAGTCCTGTCAAAGTGTAGTAACCATATTCTTAAAAGGGGTCTTAAAGACAAGTGCATTCTTGGAAGTATGATAAATGTGTGAGGAACTGAGAATTTATGACCATAAGTGAATGGAATAAGAATCTTGGTAATTTGCATTGCCTATATTTTACTGTTGATTGTATGTCAGTGTGGTACTGGGTGAATTAATAAATTGTTGGTTAGTTAAAAATAAGTAAGTGCCCTGATTTGAGAGATACTGTTCAAGTTAAAAGTTGACCTGAAAAAACCCAGAGTTAAAACTAGTAAGCTAGCTCTCTCTCTACTCAATAAAAGGAGTACTTGTGGCACCTTAGAGACTAACAAATGGATTTGAGCATAAGCTTTCGTGAGCTACAGCTCACTTCCCAGCTATTGTCTCTCTTTCCAAGTGGCCAACCCTCTTTTTCTAGTGCCTCCGCTTCCACTTCTTCAGTTAGTGAAGGCCCAGCCCTATCGCTTTATTGTCGGAATGCTGTTGAAATATTCTGTCATTGTCTTCTCAGGCATGGCCTCCGGCAACATGTGGGAGCCACATTAATACTTCTAACTATAAAACAACAATATTATTTTGGAGGAATTTTAAATCATTATTTGGCTGGCCTAAAAAGGGAAGGAATGATAAGTAATCACTGTTTTTTTTCTCTTTCTACTAAGTGTCAGAGCAAGCTAATGCTGCTAGGAATAGAAACACTTCCAGAATCAGATGCTCAGGTAAGTCCATCTTTTCTGTACTGAGTGGACAATTTTTAGTTTTCTATCAGACAAATACCAATGATCTTGCTTTTTTAGGAAATAGGCTAACATTCTTCACTTACCCTGTACAAAGTAGTCTCCTTTATCCTTATTGACTCAGTTAATAATGTGTGAACATTTTACTCTCCGAGTATGCTCATATGCAGCAATTGCAGGAAAGTTGCATTTAAATTTACCAAATTGATTATGGGCAAAGCTAGCCAACCAACTTGACTGACTATTTAATGTTGTCCCTAGCAAAATATGGGGATAGGCAGGTCTTTCTAACAGCCGTTTGTGCGTGTTGATTTCTAAGGAATGGGAGAAGGCTTTAATGGACCTGTTCGTTGGGGAAGGTTTGTCTTGTGCTGAGTTGTTTTTTTTGTGGGTAGGTGGGCAGGAGGAGGGGACGGACGAGGACCTGAGAGATTATGTATAGAAGTATTTTATTGTCTGCTCTGTTTACTTGGGAAGTACTGTTTACTTGGGAACTCTGCTCCACAGCTGCTCCCTGTTCATGGCTGTTTTAAGGAAGCAGAAATAGTTGATTAATGCTACCACAAACTAGGAAACTGGACATCAAAGGAGCAAGTTTGAGCATGTGGGAATGGACTCCTTGGTCCTTATAGTGTTTGGGAGGGTAGGATAAGCTCTGACCATTCATAAGGTGGATGTTGAGTCCTAATCTGTTATATGTTTTTATAAACTTTATTCATGCACCCAGAGCTCTGGAAGGGAGTAGTTTTATAAATGGTAAAATACCAGGGGAGCTAATCCTGGGCCGAGTGGAGAACAAGTATTTGACAAAATAACACTTCTGTTTTACAATTCTCCATGTGTAAGTTACTTAAGGATGCAATAACACAAAGTAGATGTATAAAATACAGTCAGACTGTTCCATTTGTTAATCAAAATTAAATATGCTACAAAAATTATTTCTGGACAAATAGAATCTGTATTTCTTGAATAAAACCCATATTAATTAAAATTTGTTTTTACCTTCATATATCAACCTCTTAATAGAAATAAAATAATAGTTTAACACACAGTTCATATATTTATATAAAATAGAGTCAGGAAATGTAGCTCATGAAACAAATGTATAAAATATGTTTTCCCACCGTAGAAGTCGGGGGGGGAATCTCTCCAGTATAAATAAAAATTAATTGTGGGGATAAAAACAAAACTCTGGTCTTGAGTTTAGGAAGTGTGAAGAAGTTTCTACAATATCCATGCAATTATTTTTTCTTTCTGTCATCAACTCAAGAAAACACTTTCTTCTTTCAATGTAGAGATGTGTGTGGTATTTGAGCTTGCAGGGTGAGACAATGAGCAAATGGGACTACAAGGATAGCACTTCTTGACATGCTGAAGATGTAGTCGTCTTGGTGGTTGCACATTTCTTTTTCCTTCTCATCCCCTCCAGGCATAGGGGCTAGTCCTGCTAACACCTTTGCTTTATCTCCTATCCACATGTGACAGATGAGAAGGAAGACTGTGCATGTATGTTGGTCTGCTTTCAGTGGTTAATGGAACCAGAAAGGTTCCAGAGACCTCTGAGAGAATTTGTTCCCCCAACAGACAATTTCTTTATGGTTTTTGTAGGCCTTTATAATATTCTTTTCCCCTCTACCGTTGATAGAGGGGGGGGAGAGATAGCTCAGTGGTTTGAGCATTGGCCTGCTAAACCCAGGGTTGTGAGTTCAATCCTTGAGGGGGCCATTTAGGGATCTGGGGCAAAAATTGGGGATTGGTCCTGCTTTGAGCAGGAGGTTGGACTAGATGACCTCCTGAGGTCCCTTCTAACCCTGATATTCTATGATTCTATGATGAGAAGACCCCCTAGACACCTTTGTTCACAGATGATATGCAACAAATGAGGCAAGAGGCAAGAGGAAAGCTGGTTAGAGTGCAGAATTCTTGCACAGGGGCCGCTTGATTGTAGCATCAACTACTATATTTTTTAACTCCTGTACAGAAGTCAAAGAAAAAATTGTTTTCCTTCACTATAGTATCTGCAAAATCTCAGGCAGCCAATTTGTTCCATGTTGTAGATGGGCTAGTTAATCTGGACTCAGCTGGTCTGAGCCACTCTGTTGTGAGGAAATTTCTTCTTATTTTCAGACAAAATTGATCATATTAGGGGTGTGCTATCTGTTACTGTGCTGGCAGACCATAAGAATGGCCAGACTGGGTCAGACCAATGGTCCATCTAGCCAAGTATCCTGTCTTCCAACAGTGGCGAATGCCAGGTGCTTCAGAGGGAATGAACAGAACAGGTAATCATCGAGTGATCCATCCCCTGTCATCCATTTCCAGCTTCTGGCAGTCAGAGGCTAGGGACACTCAGAGCATGGGTTTGCATCCCTGACCAGCTTGGCTAATAGCCATCCATGGACTTATATTCTGTGAATTTATCTATTTCTTTTTTGAACCCCATTATAGTTTTGGCCTTCAAAACATCCCCTGACAATGAGTTCCACAGGTTGACGTGCTTTGTGTGAAGAAGTACTTCCTTTTGTTTGTTTTAAACCTGTTACCTATTGATTTCATTCGGTGACCCCTGGTTCTTGTGTCATATAAAGAAGTAAATATCACTTCCTTATTCAGTCTGTAGACCTCAATCGTATCCCCCTTTAGTTGTTTCTTTTCCAATTTGAAAAGTCCCAGTTTTTCAAATCTCATACAGAAGCTGTTCCATACCCATAATTAAGGCTTTGTTTTAGTCACAGGTATTTTAGTAATAGTCATGGACAGGTCACGGGCAGTAAGCAAAAATTCACATCCTGTGACCTGTCCATGACTTGTACTATATACCCCTGACTAAGTCCTGGGTGCTGCGAGTTCTGGAGGTGGGGAGGAAGGCTGGTAGGCTCCCTACCTGGCTCCTCACAGCGCTCCCTGGAAGCAGCGACATGTCCGTCCCTCCCTCCCTTAGCTCCTTGCTCTGTGCACTGCAACCACCCCAAGTGCCGGTTCCGCAGCTCCCATTGGCTGGGAACGGCAGCCAGTGGGAGCTGCAGGGGCGGTGCCTGCGGGCAGAGGCAGCATGCAGAGCTAGGAGCTGAGTTAGGGAGGGAGGTGTTGCTGCTTCCAGGGAGCCCCCCAAGATAAGTGCCACCCAGAGCCCTCACCCCCTCCTGTGCCCCAAACCCCAGCCCTGGGCCCCCTCCCACACCCAATCTCCTGCTGCTGCTGGGGGCAGTGGCCTGAGACTGCCCCAGCAGCAGCTGGTGTGGCTGGCCCAGGAGCTGCTTGAGCTGCTCAGGCTCAGGCCCAGGCCCCTAGGCCAGCCACATCAGCCGCTGCAGAAGTCATGGAGGTCCTGGAAAGTCACAGAATCTGTGACAAATTTGCAGCCTTACCCATAATCTTCCCCCCCACCCCCCTTCTCTGTACCTTCTCCAGTTCTAATGTATCTTTTGAGGTGGGGTGACCAGAACTGCACGTAGTATTCAAGATGTGGGCATACCATGGATTTGTATAGTGGCATTATGATATTTTCTGTTTTATTATCTATCCCTTTCCTAATGGTTCCTAACATTGTTAGCTTTTTTGACTGCCACTGCACATTGAATGGATGTTTTCAGAGAGCCAGCCACAATGACTCCAAGATCTCTTTCTTGAGTGGTAATAGCTAAATTAGATCCCATAATTTTGTATGTATCGGTGGGATTGTGTTTTCCAATGTGCATTATTTTGCGTTTATCAACATTGAATTCCACCTGACATTTTGTTGCCCAGTCACCTAGTTTTATGAGATCCCTTTGTAACTTTTCGCAGTCTGCTTTAGACTTAACTATCTTGAATAATTTTGTATTGTCTGCAAATTTTGCTACCTCACAATTTACTCTGTTTTCCAGATCATTTATGAATATGTTGAACAGTACTGGTCCCAGTACAGAATGTTGCGGGACACCACTATTTATCTCTCTCACTTCTAAAAACTGGCTATTTATTCCTATCCTTTGTTTTCTGTCTTTGAACCAGTTACTGATCCACGAGAAAACCTTCCCTTTTATCCCATGACTGCTTACTTTGCTGAAGAGCCTTTGGTGAGGGATCTTGTCAAAAGCTTTCTGAAAGTCCAAGTACACTATATTCACTGGATCACCCTTGTCCGTATGTGTGTTGACCCTCTCACAAAGAATTCTAATAGATTGGTGAGGCATGATTTCTCTTTACAAAAAACATGTTCAATCTTCCCCAACAAATTGTGTTCGTCTATGTGTCTGATAATTCTGTTTTGTACTATAGTTTCAACCAAATTCCCTCGTATTGAAGTTAGGCTTACCAGCCTGTGATTGCCAGGATCGTCTTTGGAAACGTTTAAAAAAAAATTGATGTCACATTGGCTGCTCTTCAGGCATCTGGTATAGAAGCTTATTTAAATGATAGCTTACTTACCACAGTTACAAGAAGTCCGGTGGCACCGTAAAGACTAACAGATTTATTTGGGCATAAGCTTTTGTGGGTAAAAAACCCACATCTGAAGAAGTGGGTTTTTTACCCACAAAAGTTTATGCCCAAATAAATCTGTTAGTCTTTAAGGTGCCACCAGACTCCTTGTTGTTTTTGTGGATACAGACTTACATGGTTACCCCCTGATACTTGATACCACAGTTAGTAGTTCTGCAATTTTATATTTGAAAAACAAAAATCTTGAGGAGACAGAAGGCCTAATCTTTGCTAGAATTTCAGTTAGTGGGGTGTCCACTGAGGTACCAGAAGTGTTGAGAGAGGGTAGACTGCCATTTGTTTTAGATAGCTTTAGTATAGCCTCTGCTCAAGAAGTCATAGGTTGATATTAATATGGCCAATTATTGCCAGTATCCCATCTTCCCTTAGAGTAAGTATATGGATATGGTTATAGTGAGAGAAATCTCACAGTATCCAGATGCCTTTGGTCTCTGACTCTTGTCAGTCTGTGTATAAACCTGGCTTTGGCATAGTGAATGCATTGACTGGATTGGTTGATG